ATTCATGTTAGACGTGAAGAACTTGAACGTATCGTGTGGGGAGATTATATTAGAATAATTAGTTATGTAAGATTTTATACATATTTGAAATATTATAATAACATTCAATCACATGCATTTATCTATAAAAGAAATATAAAAATATATAATTAGTTAATGCAGGATGTTCTAATTATTACATTGTTTATAAAGTATAATTAAGAAAATTATAATAATTTTCATAAATTATAAAAAATTTATGATACGAGGAAAAAAATGATAAGTATAAGTTTTGATATCTAAATGTATATTTAGACAAAAACTTTAAAATCATGTCTAAATGCCTATTTAGCATCCCAAAATCCTTTTCTCATGAAATTATAATATTTTCAAAATAGCGTTTGAATCAAAATTATTACTCCATTAAAGAGTGTAAAAATATACCGTATTCTATTGAAAAACTTTACTCAAGATTGTGTTCAGTGCCAAAGAATTAAATACAAACTGAGAATATAATACCAAATTTATAGGGTATGCTAGTATAAATATGTTTTGGTTATAAAATCTTCGAAATTCAACTTAAAATTTGATTTTAGAATATTCAAATATTATTCCTTCATTTTGAAAATAAAAAGTTGATTAATTTCAATTGTTACATGAAATATTTATGTGGGTCCCACTGAAGGTCTTGACTGTTGCACCAAAAAGCAGAGCAGAAAGAATCAAAGGTGTCTGAACAAAGCTAACTTCTTTGATTGCTGTCTCTCTCTCTTTTAGGTCTCTGTGTCACTATAAACTTTAATATTATGACATTTTTAAACTAAAAGTTTTAAAAAATTAAAACCATACAAATATTATTAGGAATTTTTTCCAAAATTATGCAACCTAGAATATTGTATTTTCTGTTATATATTTCAATATAAAATATAGTACTCTAATACATTATTACTACTCCCTCCATTTCCTTTTAAATAATTTCTACTCTTGTTAATTTATTTAAAAAATTATATACACGCTATTCTTTTCAGGTCCTATTTTGGAGTATATTTTTATTGTTATTCCAAAATAAGTAATTTATCAAGTATTAAAATTATTTTCTGAAAATTACTTTTATTTAATAAATGTTGTAGAAGTCTCATATTTCCATGTGTATATTAGTTTATTTAAATAAAACTTATATGATTAATATTATTAAGTTATATTTGGTATGTCAAATTCTTTAGAATCGTTTGATGGCTGAATAGATTTATCAATATAAGCTATGTAAGATATAATTATTTTATTTTTCACTCGTATAAAATGAAATATAAATTATGAAATAATAATCAAATATCATTTGATACGCTAAATTTTATATAAAGTAACTAAATAATCTCATATGATATGATATGTTAAATTTTATATAAAGTAACTATAATACTATCAAATTTAATACTTAATTATGTTTGTTTTTTTGAATATATAAATAACAACCTCCATTCTTACCTCCTCGAAATAGAGGTAATATCGATCCTTCACCGATATTACTTGTGAATTTACATCATTTTGTTTGTTCTTCTACGTGCCCGTTTGACCCTACAATATGAAATTATGATTTAAAATCATGGCATGAAATTATGAAATAAAATTAAAATTTTATTTGGACAAAACAAATCACATGACCACCTAAAAATCATTTAAAATGAAATGGAGGGAGTATTTCCTTTCACTATCCAAGAACTTTGGTACTGCATTTCAAGCACAGATTCCAAACAGAACTAAAAGACAATTAGCCAAAGGACAACATACTGTCAAACTTGTACCTCTCAGCAGATAATTCCTTTCACTACAATAAAAATATTTTTAATGACAATAGATATTTACATTAACCAAAAAATGTTAAATTTTATGGTATTAATTAATTGTTATTGAATTTAAAATTGCTAGAATGCTAATTGTCTTAGAAATATATTTAATGGTAATTAAACTATTGTAATTGTTGTTAAAAATTAATTTTGATATAGTGTCTGTTTAGTTTTATAATTTGAAAAATTAAGATAATTTATTATTAAATATTATTTATTTTTTAATAATAAATGGCTTAAAATTAATAAAAATGATAAAACAAAATTACTATTTTATTTATTGCATTTTAAAAGATATGTCGAGTCAAACATGAACAAGAAAAGATGACGAGGAACTAGTACCTTGCTTTACAACCCCTTCACATCTTTTTTGCCTCTTCAGCTTTTCTACACAAAAATCAAGTAAATGCACTCTCAAAATTTCATCTAAATTCTAACACTATAACCAAACCCCATTTCCTTCCATTCTCCTCTCCAAAACAAAATGTTCATGCCCTGGTGCTTTTCTCATCTTTTCTTTCTTTATTTTGCTCTAAATGGTAAGTAAATCTTGTTTTTTACATTTATATTTTGTTTGTTTCTTTATGGATTTTTTCTTAGTTTTATAAGTTTCTATAAAATTAATTTTGCAGTTGCAGTTGGTCATGAATCAGTAGAGCTCTCAACTCTTGTGACTTTTCCAAGAACTGACATTACTACTAGTGCAGTTTCTTTGCCTATTCAAGACCTTTATGGAGTGTCCACTAGTGTTCTTGAAGCTGAAAATTGGCTAAGAAGCAATGTTTTAGCTCACTATCCAGCTACAAATATCACTACTATTCTTGTTGGTCACACACTTTTGTGCAAAATAAATCAAGAAAACAGAATGAGGTTAATCTTGCCATCAGCTAAGAACATTTACTACTCACTTACAAGATGGGGTTTGCATACTGAAATCAAAGTGTCCACTTCTTTTTCTTCCAACTGTTTGGACCAAGATTCTGGTTTGTACAATCTTGATTTGGCTCAAGAGTATATTAAACCTCTTCTTGACTTCTTTCAACATGTTAATGCACCCTATGTAGTGAACTTAGGATATTTGGATGTAAAGATTGAATCTTTGATGAATAGTCATATAGGGTCTATGAAAAAGTTGGGAAATTTTAGCCTAAACAAGATTTTCTTGATTAATGAGAAACCAAAACAGGGAAGATCCTTAAGTAGAAAGCTCTCAATTTTTGACTCAAAATACAGTAATTTTCCTACAAGGCCAACCCCATTAGCCCCAAATCCAAATCTGCCATCTCCAGCATTTGCTGCTAACAGTCCACTTCCTCCATTAATTGGAAACATTTCACCTCCTTTTGCTCCTGATATGGCTCCTCCATTGTTCAATCCTATTAGTCCTTCTTATGGACCTCATTTGCCACCTTGTATACCATCTCATGGTGGGGGGTGGGGTGGTGTTGGAGGTGGGGGTCCAGTAGGTGCACCAGTAACAGGAGGTCATGGTAGTAGTGGACTATGGTGTGTAGCTAAGCCTAGTGTGCCACCAGAGACATTGCAAGAGGCATTAGATTATGCATGTGGTGAAGGAGATGCTGATTGTGAAGCTATAAGTCCTAGTGGAAGTTGTTTTTACCCTGATACTGTTGTGGCTCATGCTTCTTATGCTTTCAATAGTTACTGGCAGAAAACAAAAGGCAATGGTGGTACTTGTGGATTTGGAGGCACAGCTATGCTAATTAACTCTGATCCAAGTAAGCACTTTCTACAATTTGAAAATTACTCCCTCCGTTTCAATTTATTTGTTTGATAATCTTGATGTCTTCAATTATGGACTGAACATAAAGTGAATAGTAGCATTAAGTAACATTATATAAAGCATTGTTCTTCTAGGCAAAATTAGGTAGAGATAGAAGCCCCCTGTCCCAAAATAAGTATCACCTTAGAAAAAAAATTGTCACAAAATACTTGACTTAGTAAACTATACCTTCTGTTTATTATTTTCTTAATGAACGTGAAATGAGCTACAACTGGAAGGAATAAAAATTTGTCTATCCATATTTCTGTGAGCACAAGGGTCAATGAGATGAATGTAACATTTTTGTTATATTATTGCAGGCTATCTCCATTGTCGATTCATTCTTGCTTGATACAAGTAGAATGGATGGAACTTTGGAATGCAAAATGAATGGAATGAAGGCGCTGGCATGAAGAGAATTGGGATCAAGATGTTGAAAATTTGTTTTTGGTGTTACCTCTAGTATAGATTTGTAGGAATTAGGAGTTTGCTTTAGGAGTTTAGATGAGCCAATGGGCACTAGAAACTCTTTGACTAGTGACTTCCATTTTTCATATTGCACAATATTTGTACTTGTAGTTTACCACTCTACTTTTCCCTTTCTCGACTCTTCCATTAGTAGCTAAATGCCATGTGCTAATGAAGATGAGTCGAATTCTTAAAAAATGCACTATTTTGAAGGATCTGACACACTTCCGAGCATTGTTAAAGAGTGCAAGCAACATGGTAAAAAACCACGGTCCCAAGACTCCCAAGTTCACGTTGATCTATTGATTAAATTCTTTGTGCTCCACATTCATCAGTTCTTTGTTATATAGTATACAAGGGTTTGACTTCCTTTTTCTAGTTCCTCCAATATCATTCAATTAAACAATACTCAATCTCATGTGGTGCCCCAGTTGGTTGAATAGAGCATCTAAGAATCTTTCCAATGGAAGTCTTGAATTTGATTCCACCTCCATGTGTTTCTCGGTTGAGCTTATTATACGAAACCTGTCTAGTGCAGTTTACATATCCTAATCCCCAATATATAATAAATATATAGTCCCTTTTAAAAGAAAAGGACACAACTTGTGATGAACCAACAATTTATTGGCTTTGGTTCTCTTTTTATTCACGATTAGTTTGACGTCTGAAATTCCTTCAGCTTAACAGCTCAAACTCCATCCTGCACAATATTTAAGCTATAATCCCACTGTCACAAACACACCAACCCTCAACCACAAAAGCTATAGCTCGTGGATTGAAGGGTTGCGGACAGCATATAAGCTGCCCAAACATCCCTTGTGTCCGATGCAGGACTGGATGTTGCAATATAGCTCTGTTGATTAAATTACTAAGCAAGAATAAATCTGGACAGAGACGTGGGAAACAGCTTGCATCATCTATATACTATCAAAAAACATATATCACTGTCTACGTAGCTGAGAGATCTATGTGAGAAGCAATCTAAAAGCATCGGCAATGTGAGACCAAAAATGGCATACTGAAAGTGTAAGGCTAACAATGGATTTCTGTACAGATAGCCTAGGGATCAGATACCTATCTCACTTATACATTAGTGATCACCTTTCGTCATGTCAATGACAGCTCCTTCCAGGTCATTCTGCCTTCCATCAGCACCATTAGTCATGTCGACCAGTGCTCCTTCCTGGTCATTCTGCCTTTCATCAGCACCAGTAGTCATGTCGACCCGTGCTCCTTCCCGGTCATTCTGCCTTTCCTCAGCATTATCATTTAAGCCCTTCTGCAAAAGATGAGCGTTGGTTGGTATGTTAGAACCTCAGACTAAAGCGATCAGAGAAAAGAGCAGCTGGATACTAAGGTAAAAACTAATCTGTGAATCGCAGAATTCATCAGCTGCAAGGTTTCAAATGCATAGTTCTCTTTTCAGCTATTATTCTTTTATCAAGGACATCACATCTATAATCTTAACTAGAGGTTCTTCAATATTTTGACAATTGTGTTATAGATCTCTATGCCCGTCGGTTGAACATTCTTGCAAATAACTTTTTGGTTTCCAATTTTTAGCTTGGTTTGAAATCAGCACAGTAAATGGACGTTCGGTAGCCAGTTTGAGTTCTGCAAGTATTAGTAATGTAGAGATTGGTTAAGAGTAAATTTATGTATTATTTTATGTAGGGATTAGTTATTTCACCTTCTATCCTGCATAAAATAACACATAGATTCCTCATAACTTATGCGGGGTTTCTAAATTGTCAACCAAACGTCGAATTAATTTTATACATAAATTAATTATATCCTATTTACCTACCAAACATCGTATACGTTATACAGAAATTAATACATGGATAATTTATTTCTTATCCAGCCATCAAACGACTCCACACATAGGGACTACAGAACTCAATTTTCCACCATGCCTCTTTTCTTTTGGGTTCTAAATGAAAACTACCAAATATCATTTCGATATACACTATATATTTAACACACGCGTCTAAAATTTTCTAAAGCATTGAACCAGGAGTCAAGTAACAGATAATGTGTGACAAAGGAGGGGGAAAAAGGATAGCACGCTCTGTCCATTGTTAAGTCAAAGTTGTACTACCCAATAAGTGCACAGAGTCTCAGAAAATAATCTTACCAGTTGTGTCATTCCTTCAGATGGCGTGTTCCGTAAAGAAGACACACAAGGAAGAGAACAGAAGAATTTTGAACAGACTATCCCTTAAAATATCTACGGAAAGGAAGAGCCAGGAATACAAGATATAGAAGTGTTTCATTTATTGAAAAAGCTCAAAGATCCCAATAATTGGGGTTGAGACGGTCCTCACATTGAAACAACTTTAGCAAGTCTGCGTGAGCAGTTATAGGAACTAAGATAACAAGCACTTGATCACAAAGCTATTCTACAAGTGTGAATATACCTTTTTAGTTAGAGTATGAGAAATAAGTTCATGTAACTTGCGCATCAGCATTTCTTCCTCAACCTACAAGTAGAACAACATACATAACTGATCTTTTAAATTGAAAGGCAAATGGAAAGAAATCAAAAGCAACAAAAATTTACAAGCGGCTAATAATAATGAGTTTGTCTCAAAGTAGTCACAATATCAGCAGCCACAATGTCAGTTTGAATGCTGATGCAACATGGGTGACAACCCCCCCCGGCTCAGGGGGTCTTCCTATTGGTAAAAAGCTACCAGGGAAAATCAATGGTACTATTGGTTTACCCTGATGTTCTACGACATACACAATAGTCATCTTGCAGGACCTCCAATAACAGTGGCACTATAGATAATACTTTGTTGTTCTACTTGATTAAGTTCATCTAAATACAAACCAAATTTACCGTAAACGAAACAATCTCTTTTGTTTTCGTTTGAAAATCAAAATATCTCATCAAACGAATGCTATCTCAAGAGCAAGTTAAACAATTATTGGATGACTAATAGATCGGTCTCCCGATGGCCTAGTCAAAATGTTGTTATCCTAATCTCCACAGGCTGATTTTCCAAACTATGCATTCATGTAGATGCAAGAATATCTTAAAGATCATGACCCTAAAGCACAATTTTGTTAGACATAAACCTGCTTTTATATGGCCCACTTACACTCGTCTTGAGAAAGCAGAGAAACATAAAACATTAAATGGGCTTCATAGCAAGGATAGAGTGAGTCCAAGATTTAGAACTAGAAGGTTATGTATTAGTTATATTTATGTACTGTTTTCAATATCTTTCATCTATAGATACAACCTTATTTTAAAAAGTACTAATTATTATTCATTATTTTTTTTGGATGACCGTGGGGTCCAAGCCAGCTTTCGCACACCTCCTAATTCCACGGGATACCTGCCACCTCCCACCACCAACAGGTACTGGGTAACCCAGTCCACCAAGGCTAGGACAGATGGGAAGAATCACCTAGTGTTATTGTCTTCACTGGATTTTCCAACCTGAGACCTCAAGGTTCTCACCCACTTCATTGACCACTAGGCCACACCCTTGAATGCTAAAAGTAATAATTATATTGATGCGGGATATAGAAATAGAGAGCATGAACTCCTAAAGCAGTACTTGCCTCAGAAGGATAGCTTCTATGAATCCCTATATAAGCTTGGGCAAAGTGGACAACATTGGTCCAAGGTGGTTGGCAGAAGGAGTACATAGAGAGATTGCTGGCTGGACAAGCATGGAAGAGTTGATGGCCGATGAGGTTGTTGACAAGGACATGGGCACACAACACTGGAAGTGGACAGATTTTAGCTTTGTAGCCTTCGAAGAGGGTGTTGATATTGAGAACGGGATCCTCTCAACTTTGATGGATAAATTGATCCATGACCTAATGTGAATGAGCCTCTTCTGGCTTTAATCAACATCAAGTTTGATACTTTAGATTTACTACTTTACCGCTTCCTTGTGCATTGTTCTTTTCCTCATGAAAGGCGGAAATCTTAATTTAAGCAAGAGATCAGTGGCTCAAGTAATTGTTCATATTTATGTTCTAAGATAGGATCAGGGTTTCCATGATAGGAGGGTGCATTATCCTTCGAACGCGAATGCGCAATGAGAAGCCTTTCTGCCAATGTTTTCACTGATTTTGAGTGTGATATTGATAGGTGATCCCAGAATTAGTAGAGCATGTTGAGGGTTTGAGCTCAAACTCAGCTCTTCTGGCCCCTCTTTTACTCTAACAAAAGCACTACTGCTAGAATTTTTAGAACAGAAACATTTCTATATTTTTTAGAAGAAGATTCACATTTCTATATCAATGGATGATTTAAACTGAAATCTTTATTATTATTACCACTACACTATTTAGAGAGAGTTAAACAATTTTCTTTCAGCACAAGTGTTTATTGTAAATTTTCTTAACTATAAAAATTACTATGATTTATAATACTACTTACCTCCAATATAATTTCCAAAAAGTATAAATAAGACATGATGATTTGAGTTCAAAATGGCAATGGACTTAAGAGAGCCGTGACACGAAGGAAAGCCAGAAATGTGGTCCTACTGGGAACGCAAGGAAAGCTTAATAGAATTGTTAAACAAGCGTAAAGGGCTAAATTGAATACCTGAAGCCTGTGCAATTCATCCGACATTGCTTTATGGGCATTTGAGAGTAGTTCACTTTCTTTCTCCAGATGCCTACACCACAAACATAAAAGGAAAAATTAAAACCCACATACAAAACTAAAAAAAGAAAAGAAAACATACTGCACAGAAACAGAACAATACGAAGAAGGTGAAAAGAACTTAAAAGAGCAATTACTTGAAGGTTTCTCCTGCATATTTGGGATCCATTGAAAAAAAAAATTGATCTTCTTCCACGAACCCTTCAGTGGGAAATAAACCTTCACTTCAGTTTCAACAGGAGAATCAAAGCTTTAAACTGATTCAGAAAATTGCAAGGAATCCTAACAATGGAGAAACAATGAAATTATTTCCAGAAGGAGGAAGAAGAAAATTGCTATTTGGATACGTTGGTCTTTTGTTGCTGGACCTACTATGAGATCCCCAAATAAGGATTGGTATGGATCAAATTGGGCCGTCCCAAAACTACAATTCGCACGAATACCCTATTTTGACATCATCTTTCCTAATTTTTATCTTTAGCGCTTTTAAGTAACAAATATAGGATAGACTATTTAATTACTTGCTAATTCTCCCTATAGTTTGAAATAATTACATTTTATCTCACTATTTAATATTTCATATCAAATTTCAAGTAAGATAAATGCGAATTACACTAGATACACACTATATACATGTATCTCGTATGATTCGCATATATCTGAAAATCCAGATATACGAGATATGAGAGTAGCGAGCGAGATAGGAGGAAGGCGGGAGAGGAGAGCGAAATTTGTCTATGTATCCCAGATACATACGAATCCGCTTGAATAAGTGTATCTAGAACAAATTACACATAATTTTGACTCATGTATCCCGAGATACATGTATCTGGGCGTCCAAAGCGTATTTGGACGCACCAAAATCTAGTAAAATTCGTAATACTGCAAACCAGCATGATCTAAGTAAATAGTTCCTAACGTAATGATTTTTCTCTAAGTTACCCTAAAAAATAACCAAAAATATCCTTGACAAAAGAAAAAGCAAAAGAAAATTTGCAAGATATAAAATATGCTTTATGGAACAAAAAATTGACAAGGCAAATTCACAAGACACAAATTATGCCTTGTAAGACATAAATTTAATTTCAGAACATTATGCCTTAAAGTTCATAACCCACAAATTATGCTTTACTTAGTTCCTACAAACATGTTTTATAGGGCATAAGTTCAATTTTAGAATATTATACTTTAAGAAGTTCATAACCCATGAGACATAACTTAGTTCCTACATAACTTATGTCTTATAAAGCACACGTTTAGTTTTAAAACCCACAAAATTAAGCCTTAAGGGGCATAACTTATTCCTACAAATGTTTGTTGGACAAGACATATGTTATCTAAACTTATGCCTTGTGAAATGGATGCTATACAACTTATGTTGGACAAGGCAAATATTCTCTAAACTTATATTTTGCAAATTCAATACTACACAATTTATGCTAAACAAGGCAAAAGTTCTCTAAGCCTCGAATAATATTTCATCAATCCAAGTCATGGTAACCAACAACACTAGATGGCAAAATGCACTAAAATTTCCATCATTTAACTTGAGCCAAAATGAAATTTATATTCACATGACACTACAAAGAACCAAAGACTATAAAGAAGTATTCTAACATGAAAATGGATACATAAACGAAGGATAACTACGATATTGATTGAAATTTCCAGATTTTGATTAATGGATAGCACTAAAATCAAACCGAACTACACTTAAAAAGAAAAGAAAGCAATCAAGTTCTCAGCCACATTTTCGAAAGCAAAACAGTTCCAACACGTAAAGGACTAGACACGCATAGGAATGAGCTAACGATAAATCTATGAGCCAAGTTGAAACGAGATTACAGTGAGTTACAAACACGACATTAATAGGTGAAATACAAGAGAAAAACAGCCAGCATTCAAGTTATGCAAGAATTTAAATAAATCGTAAGAGATTAGGCTAACATGATGAGAAGCTACAACTACACATTAAAACGACAAAGAAGACAACCAAAACACAAGTAAACAGTGAGAAAGCAAGAGTATACAGCAACAAATCTCAAGTTGAAGCTAAATGAACACTATTATCATTTCGAGTGAGACAAGGCAGTGGCTCAGCTAACTATAGAGCTAACGAATATGACGAACAATATATAACATCCAAAGTGATTTCACTGATGCTTAACTCACGTTCACAGCCCAAAAACTCAAAGAAAAGTGAAACACAATAAAAGGAATCAACTCCACATAACAAAATCGGTACAAAGAATGTCATACAAAACACTATATCTTAAGAGAGAACGGAGTTACCTTTCTTAGAGAAGCTTTCCGGGATAAGAATTGGAGGAATTGTCCGATTCGAAATTTGAATTCCTTAGATAAGGTTGAAAGCTGTAATTTGTACACAATTTCCTCAAGGGATTGAAATTGAGAGCCCTTGATTGTTGAGCAAGGACGAGGAAGCACCGAGATTTTGACACCTAGATGATTCGAGAAGAGGAGGACGCGCGATGGGTTGTTCTCCTGGTTTGCAGCGCGAGAGAGAAGAGGAAGATGTATACCGTATTTGTTGTTGTAGTTGTAAAGAGAATTGGTCGGCTATTTGAATTGTGAGGTGGAATGCATTGTTGATTGTATGTTGTTGGGCTGCTGGGTCTTGTGGTGTAAAGAAGAAATGGGCTTAATTGGGAATTGAGAGATTGGAGGCAACAAAATGGTTGGGTTTGCAATTGGAGAGATGGCCCAATTGTAGCCAATTGTAGTTGATAATTTAGCCAAAGTTAATAAGTGAATTCGGCTAAAGATTAAATAAGACGAATTATAACTAAATAATCTAAAATTATAACCATAATTTAAACTAAATTAATTTAATAAAATATTTAACTTAAATATATTAAATCTTTTTAAGATGATTTTTGAATATTCATAAAATATACAAATTATATAAAACATATTCATTATTTTAAAATATTACAAAAATATTAAAATCACATTAAAACTTGAAATATATTTTGAATTTTTATAAAATTAATTCTTTCAAATCGTTTGAAATTAAAGAAGCTTGAAAATTAATTTATATCGTGGATGGTCAAAATTGGGTGACTGTCCCTCGTTTGACTTGGATTGATGAAAGAAATTTGAGGCAAACGAAATTGGCGAATCCAATTTTGACCAACCACGTCTCCATCTTTCAGAAAAGGGATTTGGTACGGACTTTAGGAATTATGGCCAAACTCCGAAAATGGATTTCCTACATATCTCAAGCTATATGATAATTCAGGTCACTTGTAGTTCAATACGCTTGATTTGATGCACAATTCTAAAAGGATTCAGAAGCTATCCCAATACCAAATTATGAGGGCACCGGAATGCTCGATTGGGGATAAGATTTAAGAGAGAATGTTGGAGTATATCCGAGTTTTTAACATTGATCTCGCCTACATATCCCTCGACTCAAGAAATCAGACTGTTTGTAGTTTGACTCGATCGATTGAAAAGGAAGCCCAGTATGCTAAAATAACCTTTGGTTCTAGAAGAGTGACAAATAGGTTGAATTATGAAAAATAGGCTTGCAATCTCTTAGCCATGAATATGAAGCTCTTCACATTCATAAGTAAGAACTTACATAGACATAATTTCCAAAATTATTGGTGCATTATCACTCAGATTGGAAAGTTGCCTCCGGTGAGAGCCGAAGTTTCCGGATGCGAAATTGAAACTAGTAAGCCCAAAAAAAAAAATACCCACATGCCTTCTGATAGGGGTGTGATTTGATTGTGGTGGAAACCGCTCCTCAATTCGCTTCTGAAGAGTTTAACATTCCTCTTTGTACTATGTCCCAGTTCGCTGCTAAGAAAAAGTTCCACGTTATGCTGTAGCCTTTTTTATGTCGTCCACACCTGTGGTTTGTTTGAGAATTCATCCTCTTGGATGCTCTCGATAAATACTGAGATAAAACTCATTAGTATAAAATGTAATTCAAATGGAGAGATAGTGTATTTTACCATGTCGACACTTAGCTACTCCCTTCAAATACTAGACGTCAGCCTCTATCAATTTGACGTAAAACAAATAAAGCTTATACCTCATATTTTCAATGTTGACACCCAATTTTGACCGACCTTTAACCCTTTTTGGAAATGCTATTCGATTAAATACATATTTTAAAATATATTTCGAGTTTAAGATTTTAGTCGATTTTGTCTAAAAATTATATTTTAGTAAGCTTGATTTATAAAAATTTATTGTTTAAATTATTTAATTATTATATTTATCGATAGTTCAACTCGGAATAATTACCTATTTAAATATTTTAAGAAAATTAGATGTGTATAATATATATGGAAATATTTTAAAATATGTAGTATTTTATATAATTGGATAACAATTCCTAATTCTCAAAATCATTTATATCGTAGCCTATTTTCTTCTAATTTCTTTCAATTCTAGCCATTTCAATTCAAATTGTATTCCAATTATAGTCACCTTTCATTTTCAATTCTAGCCAGTTTCTATTTCAATTTTAGCCACTTCAAATTCAATTTAATATGTTTTAAAATATTTTGAGCTTTTAATCTTGATCGTCCATCCTTTAAATTAAATCCTAGCTGCTTATCTAATTCTAATCCTATGGTTCAGATCTATCAAACTTCACCTTCCTATTTCATATCTAAAAGACCCCTAAACCTAAATTTATTCATTCTCCCTCTCTCTCAAACATATCAGCCGCCGCCCTCCCTCTCACCGGCGATGGCGAGTCTCCAACGAAAGTCGAAGGAGAGGTCGTTCCCCTCTTATCTCTTCCTCTCTCCCAGCGCCTCCTCTTCTTCTCTCTTCTTCCTCTTTTCTTCTCCGACGGAAGAGCAGCAACGCAAGAACCAGCAAGCGTTGGCTGCCTCTGCTCTTTTTTTCGGTGGACAGCAGCTGCGACCAACAGCAACAGTGCCCAGCGAAGCACACTCCAACGACGAGCAGCAGCCAGCCACAATGAGCACTGGTGAGAGCAGCCAATAGCCATCGCTGCTCCATCTCCCTCCGTTCTTTTTTTTTTTTTACAGCAGCAGATCTGCGCGGCGAGTAGCAGCAGTGCCCAGCACAACAGCAACTCCGTGATAGCAGCAGCAGCTTGGCGAGAAAACAGCAGCAACAACTGCTCCGTCCAGCAGCGACTCCGGCGAAGCTCAAAGGCTGTGGAAGACGGATCTTCACAGATCTGTCCGGGTTCGTTTTTCTAATTCGATTATA